TTCTGGGCGTCATCTTGAGAAACTCGGGCATCTTCTTGTTCGGGATCTTGCTGAGGTTCTGGGCCGTCATCTCCCGCCGCAAGGTTCTTGGGGAGCTGGTGGGCCTTGTACTGCGGCACCGGCTCGGACTCTTCATGATCTTTTCCATCGTCTTCCCGCTTCCGGGAACTCTCGGCTTCTCGGCTCGCCGCCCCGACCCAGGGAGCGGGTGGCGGCGACTCCTCGGCCTGCACGTCGGGCAAGTCGAACGCCGGCTGGTTCAGAGCCACGGGCGTGGTCACGTCCTGCGAGGGGTGTGATGTCACCGTGGTTTCGCTGTCACAGCTGTCGCTGCTCTCCTGAACCTGAACACACGTCAACACCAGTTGAAATCTCGTCAAGAATTGCTGAAAAAACTCTTTCGCATCCTCTCGACATTCAACAGTTGGACGCCAAGTGATTGTTTTGACTTTCATTCAATAAATGGGATGAATTTTTCGGTCGAAGGACTTCCGATACAGATCGAAGCTTACTTTTTTTTTTTTTTTTTTAAACGTAGTCTCCCAGCACCGTCACGCACATTTGCCATCTGCACGCACGCGTCCATTCTCCCTCAGCGTCAAAATCTTTGGCCTGATCTCTCAGCCGCTCGCTGACAAGGCTCCAGTCATTGTTGGTGAAATCGCAAAAATGCTGCCATCTGATATTTCCACGTCCATTTTGGCATTTCATTTGACAACTTATCGTAAAGATTTGAGGTTTCTTGTCCAATTCAAGACGGTGACTTTCAACCGGATTTGATTTGATGGATTCATTGATCGGACGTGACGGAATGAAACAACGTTGAAGAAATGACAAACCCATCGCGGCGAATAGCAAAAATCAAGAAATGAAAATGAGCATTTTACAGTGGAAAACATTATTTTTTTTTTCAATTGACGGTGCAGTCGAACATAAAGACGACGAAATGAGAAAATGATCCATTGCCATTTTCGCGTCACTTTCAGGAAAGGACCGATGGGAGCAAACGTTTCTATTTACTGTGTGGAAAAAAAATAAATAAACTCATTAAGATGACCGTTTAATTGTCAGTTCATGTCTTGAAAATTCAACGGAAGCCGCGAATTGAGAAACGGGCGCCTTTTCTCATGACTGGCTGACGACAAATCCAGTCGAGAAACCAGAACGTGCGATTTTCACCATTTTTGGGTTTTGTCCGCGAAACGTGGGCTTGGCGTCATCACCTCGCTGCGAGGCAACTCTCCCAAAGTATTCCAGCGACAGTGCACAAAGAATAGGCGAGAGAGCAAAGGGTCCACCTTGAGGTTGCCGGCGGCGTCCAGCGAGGAGGTCTCCTCGGCGAAGCCGCTGCTGTCCGATTGCTGGCTCGTCGTCCGCAGCAGGTCTGCTCGGCGGGAAAAAAATCAGGCGGCCATCAGCTTGGGGGGGCCGTCGCATATGTAAGACGCTCAACCGCGTGCAAATTTCCTCCCGAGCCAGAAAGTGAAAGCTAACATCTGTGCTGCCGCTCACGAATCTCAATCGTGTCAGGAATGACACACACGTAAGGCACGAGCACACGGACACACACGCACACACACACACACACACACACACACACACACACACACACACACACACCCGCGCAAGCAAAAGAAATTCTCCGACGCGACTTCTCACCCGAGCTTCTGGACGTTCTGGACAGGAGAGCTTCGCCTTCGATACTCTGAATCTGAGGAGATACGACTCACTTTACGACTGCAAAACAAGAACGGGAAGACGAAAAAGCAGTCCAAGGAAAAGACGAAACGGAAAAGAAAGAAAGAGGAAGAAGATCGTTTGCAAGTCCGTCTGAAGCGAGCGGCTTCAAAAGTCAAGAGGAAGCCGACAGAAGAAAAAGTTCCCCCAAAGTCGAAACCAAAACAAACAAGAGTCTGGAGCTACTGAGCCCGATGTGGCTAGCTATGGATGAGAGAACCAAAGAAAGAGAGAATATCCATCTATCGACACACACCCATAGAGGGCTTCGTCCTTTTCGCAATTACCCACAATGCACTACCGGCGGCCATATTGGAGGGCTGTTATAAACGAATTCGTGTATGGCTCGTTTATAACAGCCCTCCAATATGGCCGCCGGTAGTGCATTGTGGGTAATTGCGAAAAGGACGCAGCCCTCTATAGAGAGAGCTATACAGAGAGAGAGAGAGAGAGATCAACCTATATCTCGACATATTTATCCCCAAAAGTCAGGTTGTAAACATGTTCCGAAGAAGTGCACAAAGAAAAAGGTCGAATGCGGCAAAAAGCCGTGCGGAAAAGTGTTGAAAAGGGCAAAAGGCGCTGCTGATCTGATGAAGAAGGCCGGCCGTACCTCCTCCATGTCAAAAGAGTCGGCGTTCTCCGTGCGCAGCTGAGCTAGCAGGGTCGGCGCCGCCGCCTTCTCGGGGGCCCGCAGCTCATCTGCGCTCTGACTGGCCGCTGCGGGCTCAGCCGACTCGGGCTCGCCGCCGCCGCCGTTTTGCCTGGGTGGGGGGGAATAAAGAAAGAAATCACCCCAAAGGTCAGTTGACATGTGACGTCACTGCCAAGACTGACGTATGTTTTTTTTTTGAATGGCCCAAGCCATGAGGGCTGCTCCCGATTCTCAGATTTGATTTTTGAAATGTTTTGGCAGGGGGCCGACGGGCAATGAAAGGCACGGACGGACGGACATGTGCCGATCGCGCGCGGACTCGACGGGAACGCCATCCCACGCGTCTCACCGGGGGTGCGCGCGTTGCTCCTTCTCGCCTTCCTCGGCGACGGTGGCCAGCGAGCAGCTGTCCTTCTTGCGGACGTGCTTGTCGGCGGGCCGCGCGTCCTCGTCGTCTCGCCCTTCGGCGGGGGCGGGCGGCGCCCCGTCGGCCGTCCGGGCCGGC